TGGCCATAGGTCAATGTTACGGCCAACAGCCCAGTTTATTGTCAGTGGCCAAGCTTATGACTAATGTTACGGCCAACAGCTCAGTTCATTGTCAGTGGCCAAGCTTATGACTAATGCTACGACTAACAGCCCAGCATACAACCAACAGCACACCACTGTGCCCAGCATACAACAACCAACAGCACACCTCTGTGCCCAGCATCCCAGTTATGCTGCCTACCACCACTCACTTGCCGACATTTGATTGACAGCTCTATATTTAACACTCTCCGATTACCTCAACAGGAGACGTCTTGCTTTGTCAACAATTTAAAATTGTCTTTCATAAATCTTGACTTCCATGGGTCTGTAGACTTTATAAAAATCGCTTGAATGTTTTCTATATTTTTTGTTCAATTAGTATCGAAGTTAGGAAGTTGCGGGGGGGGGGGGGGGGGGCACACGTTAAGTTAACGTAGGGATGTTGGGGTAAGCAAAAATGTATTAAGAATTTTTTTTTTTTTTTTTTACGAAAACCAAATTGTTTTGAACAAACATCAGCCGTCAGAATGCCCGTCTCTTAAGTTGAAAATGTTGTGTCCTGCTGATTGTTAGTGTTCATTCTGGTGATTGAGCTTCCATTAACTATTTCATTTGATACATATTTTAGCTTGTTTAATTTTTATTGTGCGTCTACAGTAACATTGAAATTTTTGATCTAGCCACCTTGAATGTGCCGTCATTCTTCCCCTAGCGCCCTTCAAATAAGTTACTTTTTTTTCCAGGAAGCCTTTTAATATAAGCGCCTGCCGAATACCTTAAAATATTGTCACACATCTTCTGGGCACCCCTAAAACCTTGGTACGGTTCTTTCTTCCAGGCGTATTTGTAATAGTGGCGCCCCTCTTCTGAGTCCTAAGAAAATTGCGCGAACGGAAAAATGAGCAACCGAAAACTGCGGCAACAGAAAAATGCGCAAATAGCAATTAATTATACTAATAAACTTCATTTAGTAACATTTCGTGGAAATAATTATTTAATTACGCTACACTGTACATATTGTCTTTCTTTGCTAACATCTATAAAAAATGATCCATTTTCATCAAATTTCCCTTGCGCACATTTTTGTGCTTTGTTTTCCGTTGCGCATTCTTCTGATCAACTAAGATATTGACAGCATTCTTCTTGAAGCCCCTAAAATATTCGCGCCATCTCTTCCGGGCGCCACTAAATATTGGCGCCCTGGGTAATTACCTAGAACACAGGACGCCAGGAGCCAATTTATAGAATTACCTTAAAATTTTAAAGCACGTGCTGGATAGGGGATAATTACCTGGTGAGCTCATGGTGAGTACAGCACATACATGGGTCATTACCTGGTCGTCTGACGCGAGCGAGGTGTGCTTTACCTGTGGTTTATACCTGCTGGCTAAGGGACGGGTGAACTCTATTTCACTTTACTATGGACCGTCAAGTTCTATAGGGAACTTTATTTTTATACCTGTTGGCTAGTTGCTCTAAATGCTGTGTCCATGAAGATTGGTCGTTTTCTTTGTACATTCCACGATACACAATATATCAATTTCATATTTTATTTCGAGATTCACTCCATAGATTATCCGTTAACACAAAATCCAATAAAATTATGAGATAAGATCCATTAACACATGCCCACTAACAATCATCATAATATTCACTAACACATGACACAAGATTCACAAATACATGACATTAGATATGACTTAATATCCACGAACACTCAACATATCCACTAACACACAACATCCACACAGGAAATATGATCCACTATCATGTAATATCCACCCTCTACAACATACATCCACTATAACCTAGTTTGGATTTGTCCTAGCCAATATAAAACCAACTAAGACATTGATGTTTAAAGACCCTTTGTAATATGGTCTCGTTGTTATTTAGTAATTTTAAAGACAAGACTCAACTGCTGTATGGAACTTGTTCCGCTTTTTGTGTGGGGCATGCTCACGATGGCGTGTTAGACTTGTTCCAACTTTTACATGGAACATGTTCCCACCGAATCTTATATGTTCCCCTGACATTTCAAACTCCCGATCATGTCTGAGACATGTTTGAACATGTCCCCACGTAAATGTGAACTCGTGGAACATGTTCCGACTGAATGTTCTCGACTAATAGCAAAGATCCACAACATGTTCCTACTGAAGCATGAACTCGTGGAACATGTTTAGCTCTGACATTAGCTCCGACATATTCCGACGGGCTCTAGGACTTTTAAGTCTTTCACATTATACACTTGTACACGATAGAAAGATAGACCAAACTAAACAAAAAAAAACCACTCACAATTTTCTATCAACCTGAATTATCCCTTACACCTACCAATCTTACCCACCCACTTCCCCGCCTACTCCATCTACAGATGCATGCCTTCTTTTAAATTTTCATTGTTTTCAGTTCATCTAACCCCCTCGACCATTAAACACCCCCCCCCCCCCCACACACACACACTCACATTAAACCCCCATCACTGTCTCTTGTTTACCCTCCCAGTATCCCCAAGGGATAAAGTACTCATTGGACTGTGGGTTGATAGATCGAGGATCATGCATCATCTCTTTACAAACCCCCGCCTCACAAACAAAACAAATCAAACAAATAAAAATAGAGATGCCGGGGGATGTTCCCAGACTAGGGTGATAAATTAATCTCAGCAGTTTACAGAGCAAACGCACTTTGTCTATTAGAAAAAAAACAACAAATAAAATGCAAGCCCACATATAATGCAATTTAATAACTAGTGTGTATGACTACCATACTAGCCCACATAAAAAAATATGCACTACAAACACCCTACCAACAAACCCACTCTATTAAGAACGCAGCTTACAAGTCCACCATAAAACTAGCCCTAAAACTTTTAAACCCATCTTACAAACAAACCTATCCTACAAACAAACCCACCATATAAACCTACACTACAAATAAACCCACGTTACGTAACAACACTACAAACAAACCCACTTTATAAACCTACACTACAAACAAAACCACCTTAAAATCCTACACTACAAACTAACTCACCTTACAAATCTACACTACCAACAAACCCACCCTACAAATAAAACCACCTTATAAAATACCCTACCGTTTAAATAAACCCACCTTAAAAACAAACCCACTACAAATAAAACCACCTTAGAAATCCACACCCTACATACAAAATCCAACATAACTAGCCGTACAGACAATCCTAATTAATTCTAATTAATTACTTTATCTCTACGTACTGACCGCGTCTATAATTACAAAACAAAAACTTCGTCTTATTTAATCACAAAGTTATTAATTAGAAATCTGAATAACAGAATTAAAAAAAAAAAAAAAACTTTCTCGGTTGGCATTATTGGAAACTCCAGTCACCGAGTTAGTCTCATTTAAAAAAAAAAATATTTCCTTCACTGAATCAACATTCTCGCAGATGAAATGGTAAGAATGTTGAGGTTCATGACTCGCCTACCTGTTGCTCACTTATCACGTGACTGCATGTGGACTAGGATGAGTAGACAGGGGCGAGGTGGGTGTTGTTTATCGCCATCCCTGCATGTTGCAATATCTGCTGGGTGTGTACCACATCTCTGACTCGCCATTCCACACGCTTCAGATGTGGTTAAACGGTTCTCCGCTTACGAACTCCACATGTGGTTAAGTGATCTGCTATCTACCCCGTCAGATATTCTTGGAAATTCAGCTGCGCGGGACGGATAATTTTAGCTCTGTGTTTTATTTTATTTTCTCCGTCTTGATGTGAAAGTTTTTTGTTTTGTTTTTTGTTTCCGGTAAATAGTTTAGCGTGTGTAGTGTTTATTTATCGGTGAAAAAAACTCTGTGCTTTAATTTTTAGAGTCCAATAAATCAGTGAAAATCCGAGCTTTTGATTTTTAGAGACAATTAGATCAGAGAAAATATGTGCTTTGATTTTTAGAGGCAAATAAAATATAGAAGAAAATGAAAGTTGAAGATATTGAGGATTACTGGCATGACGTTATCAAATCGTTAAGGTGGGTTTTTTATTGATCTTATTCTATGGTCACCTTAGGTATCGTGGTCATCTTAGTTTAGTATGACGTATCAGTGGTCATCATAGTTTACTATGATCTCCGAGTGGTCAGACGTGTCAGTGACATCATAGTTAATTATGTGATACCGTGACCAAAACATTTTCAAACTGCAACATTTTTTTTTTCAAAACAATGTATTTTTCGAACTCTTCCATCGATGCATTCCTTCTATTGGTTTGAATTAGAATATCGCACGAAATGGTCTCAAATTACTCGAATAAACTAATTTTTTGTCTGCTTAAGTCCCCTTCACTAAGCAGGATGTATCTCCCTCCTTCTCTACTTCTGTAAGGTGATACTTCACCTGTACTACCTTTTTAAGGTGATACTACACCCGTACTACTTCTGTAAGGTGATACTACACTCCTACTACTTTTGGGACTCTAACAACTTTAGAATACTACATTTTTCGCGCACGCTTCACCGCACGCTAGATGCGTTCTACGTTAGCTAATTGATTAATTTAAAAATATTAATTATAATTTTTTTGTCTTTTTTATTCGCTTATTAGAGATAAAAAAATATAATTAATTTAAAACTTTTTTTCCTCCTACTCATCTTTACCAGAGCTTACCCCTCTCCCCCCCCCCACCTCCAACTAGGTATATAACATGATTGAGTTTACGAGCCCTTACCCCCCCCCCCCCCGAACGAAATGGAATTTATATAGAAAATATTTACTTCTACCACTGTCCGCCCTCCCGCCCTGAGAAAGTCTACCCCCCTCCGGAACGATTGGAATATATATAGAAAATATATACTTCTATCACTGTCCGCCGCCCTGCCCTCCCTCCTTCCCCCCCCCCCCCCCCCGAGAAAAAAAGTCTGAAAGAAACACTGGCCCTTACACCAGTCCTTACCTGTAACGTTTCAGTAAATTGACGCCATTTTTTCTCTCTCTAGCCTGAGCGGTGGGGAGGAGCATCTGGAGAAGTTGGCGGAACTTGAACGTCTGCTGGCACTGGCACAGTCCGAGAAGATGAAGCTGGTGGAGGAACAGGTCAGTTCTGGTCATATTTTTGTTTTGGGCAACCTTGACCTTGGTCCTTATATGGGTCAAGTTGGTGGAGGAACAGGTCAGTTCTGGTCATTTTTTTGTTTTGGTCATCGGAGTGGTCTAGCGGTAGAGAGCTGGACTGCTAACCCGTAAGTCTCGAGTTCGAATCCTGGTTCAAGTCAGTAGACCGTCCCTGAGTCCACCCAACTTTGATGGGTGCCTAACTCACGTGAGGGAAAGTAAAGGCGGTTGGGCATAGTGCTGACCACACTATCCCTTCATATGCCGAGGTCACAGAAAAAAGTGAACTCTACTTCACTTGCCCTATAGACCGTCAAGTTTGAAAGGGTACTTTTTGTTTTATTCTTTTACATCGTTGACCCTGATCTTTTTATTGATGCAGTTGGCCTGGCTGATTCGTGGGTTGATTGCGTTAACTACCGTGCGTTGTTCAGAGTTACTTTCGGCATCTCTTTGGGAGGAGGAGGGGGGGGGGGCTCAGTACCCGGAGTACGTTCACCCCTCCCCACTGGACAAAAAAAAACATATTTTATATTAGAAATATAAATATATACTTAAAGCAGAGGTCCCGCCTTCTGGAAGTTTAATTGTGCTACCGGAGAAAAATGTCTGAAAGAAACCCTAGGTTCGATCGTGCCAGCCCAATCGTTCTAAACAATGTTGGTACCTTTTTGGAGCGACCTTGACCCAGTTAATGGCGTTGGTGTGTATCACGTGACAAGTACCCGTTTGACCGACTTCGCATCACACCTTAAGAACTTGGACCTGATTTTATGGTTTTTTAGTCTTTGTAACGTCCAGTTATTGCTGTTTTTAAGGTCACACTTACAAACATTGTAACGTCACGCATATGACTATTGTAACACAGTTATGACCATTGTAACGTCACAATTATGGCCATTATAACGTCACAATTATGGCCATTGTAACGTCACAATTATGACCATTGTAACGTCAGTTATGACCATTGTAACGTCACAATTATGACCATTGTAACGTCAGTTATGACCATTGTAACGTCACAATTATGACCTTTGTAACGTCACAATTATGACCATTATAAAGTCACAATTATGACCATTGTTATGACTCATTATTATTACCTGAGACTGCGCCAAGGCAATTTTAAAGGCCAAGGCTGTCTGGCAGAATCGGTAGAGTGCCGGTGTATAATGCTGTTGCACCGGGACCGAATCCTGCTGAGAATAATTAATTCCACACCTCGACCAGAGCAAATAATGGAAATGTCACACTGGTGCAGTGGGGAAAATAAATTATGCTAAGCAGGTACAAACAGCCAATGAAACGTCTGCACTCAGTTGACCGAATTTGTGTCAATATGTCTGCCAATACTTTTTGTCAATATTCGATGATACATAATAGCGAACTTGTATACATAATGGTGAATTAATGTACATAATAGCGAATTATTAGTTTACCGTTGAAAGGCTTTTGTTAATGAAACTTTACATTGCTGCAACTCTATTGGTTTGTTTTGGAATTATTGCTATAATTTCTGTCAAGAAAGTCCATTGTAATGTATGATAATAATATAATATACAAAATTTAGTTCAAGGGGTGGGGAGTCAGACTTACGTAACGATACTTTTTGGTATTTTAAAAACTTAAACTTGGAAAATGAATTTTTTAGCCGCTATTTCGCATTTTTAAAACTACATTTGTTGAGGATATAATACAAATGGATCGATACACTCAATGTGGATCGGACTCAGTAAATACTTTAAAATAAATAGCCGGGTTTTTTTTTTCTTTTTTAAAATTCCAATTTTGAGGTAGAGTTGTGATTTCATTTTAGCGGACGGCTTTTGTTGTGGGCAATGTGGAAAGGGGAGGGTAAAAATCGTTTTAAAACTTTTGACGTCGTTAATGGATGACCCCGGAAAAAAAAATGCTATAGGTAGCGTAGAGTCATTGTGCTAGCTGGTAAACTAAAAACTAATGAGTCGTGGAAATATTAGGTTAATTAAAGGTTTACGAGTTGTAATTACTGCGGCTGCCGGTATGAGGTGAAATATTCGTTGTTTTGTTTAAATAAATGACGGCGTGGTCGAATGGTAGAGCGTTTGACTGGTAGCCCGAAGGTCTTGTGACTGTTCGACGTCCCTGAGTCCATCCAGCTATCTTATGTTGGAGAAAGTAAAGGCGGCTGAGCATAGTGCTGACCACACAATCGCTTCATATACCGAAATAAAATAAAAAACATGAACTCTACTAGAGGAACTTGAACTTACTTTACTTGACTAGTATTGCCACTATACCCAGGCCGTGCTTCATAACAGCCACACGGGCAGAAAGTACCATTACATGACTCAAATGTCAAGCATCCGTTTCTATAGGAACCAATTTGTTGAATGTAAACATAAGCAGAGTTCACCGGGTTCTTGAAATGGTTGGCCTGTACGAAACTACTGTGTGGTCACAGCTATGCCCAGCTGACTTGACTTTCCCTGACTTAAGTCAGATAAAGTCAAGTAGGTATCAGGGTTTGGTAGACTGAGAGCCTTTCCGTAAACTCAAGTCAGGCATGGTGCCGGTTACTTTTTGGTTTGCTGTCGTGTGCTCTCACGCGCAACGACACCGCTTGAATTATCTGTGTACTTGTATTGTGAATTCATTAGACATTTTAAACCACAATTTTATCCAATTAGAAAACAAAAAAGCTTGACTATGAGCTAGAGGCGTTACGATAAAGACGTCTCTCTCTTCCCGGTATCCTTAGCGGGGAGGGGATTACTTTTTTCCCCACAAAATTTAACTCAAAGGTAGTCACACTAACAACAAGTTACGAACACTACCTTAACGCAAATAATTGGACACTGTTTTATTTTCATTACAAATTATTTAATTTTATACCAAAGCAAAATTTTGAATTATTTTTAGTGAATTTAATCGAGTATGATATGAATCTTTATCCTTTAAAAATGCATTAACTGTTTAGTGATCGTCTTGTCCCCATTGACTATGCTGTGAGGCAGTTACAAAATGTTTTGACAAATTGGATAAAATCGTGTAGAGGCGACCACTCTTAATAACCTGCATTACCCGCCCTTGTTTGAAGTTAATCTCCTTCCAACGTTTTCTCGTGAAACTTCAGGTGAAGATCCGAGAGTCGGAGATGGTGGTCTTACAGAAGAACGAGGCGTTGGAGAGGGAATTGGAGCAGGTCAAGCTGAGGGAGAAACACACGCAGATGGTAATTGTGGAATGTGGTTGGGGAGGCTGTAGGTGGTGTGGTGGGGGAGGTTGAAGGTGGTATGGTGGGGGAGGTTGAAGGTGGTGTGGTGGGGGAGGTTGAAGGTGGTGTGGTGGGGGAGGTTGAAGGTGGTGTGGTGGGGGAGGTTGAAGGTGGTGTGGTGGGGGAGGTTGAAGGTGGTGTGGTGGGGGAGGTTGAAGGTGGTGTGGTGGGGGAGGTTGAAGGTGGTGTGGTGGGGGAGGTTGAAGGTATGGGGTAGGTATATTAGTTGTGTGAGTGTGGTTAGGGGTACAGGGTGATGTGGTTGTAGATGGTGTGGTTGGGGGTTAGGTATATTAGTGGTGTGGTTGGTGGTACAGGGTGATGTGGTTGGGGAGGTTGAAGATGATGTGGTTGGGGGGGGGTAGGTATATTAGTTGTGTGATTAGGGGTATAGTGTGATGTGCTTGCGGGGGTGGTAAAAGGTGGTGTGGCTGGGGATAGAGAGTAGGTGTGTGTGGGGGTGATGTGGTAGAGGGGTTTGCAGTTGGTGTGGTTTGTAGGTACAGGGTGGTCTGTGAGGGTCATGTGGTTGGAGGTGGTGTGGTTGGGGGGTAAAAGGGAGCGTGGTTATGGGTTAGAGGGGTTGTCTTGTTGGGATGTAGAGAGGTGGTGTCACCGTGTGAATGGGGGGGGGGAGAATAGACGAGGTGTGGTTTGGTGGGACCGATAGTGGGAACACTAACACGAAGGTTGTGGTTTCAAAGATCAGCTATTAAATAAGCTGTTGCAATTTGGTTGGGGGATAGACAGTTGGGCCCACTAGTTTGAAGGTTGCAAGTTCCAAGTTCAGGAAGTCCAGTTAAATTGGTTGATTGTTGTTGTTTTTTTTTTAAAGTTATAGAAATCCTAATCAGTTTTTCTTTCCATATTTATTCACTGCATATCCCAATATTGCTGATTCTGCATTAAAATTTTCTGAATTATTTATTGCCACGAGACCTCCCACGATATATAACACCACAGCCCACTTTAATTAAAACAATCTGGTTTTTGTTTCAACGCTGTTATTTTCATCTGTACAATCAAGTTTCGCTTTAACGCTATTATTTTTATCTGGCCAATCTAGTTTCGTTTTACCCTGTCTATTTCCGCCCCACAGCAAGCAAGGCCGATGACTCGGTTCCTGCCCAACACCAGTAAAGATTTTGACCTGCGGGCCCACATCGAGGGGTCGGGGCACCAGCTGGACATATGCCCCCACGTCATCGTGACCAACCACAGCTGCCGAGGGTTCCTGCACAAGATGGGGGGCCGCATCAAGACGTGGAAGAAACGCTGGTTTGTTTTCGACAGGATGAAGAGGAAGGTGGGTTGGCAGTAGGGTTGTGTAGTTGGGGGAGTGGGTTGGCTTTAGGGTTGTGTTTTTAGGAGAGTAGGTTGGCATTAGGGTTGTATTGTTAGCTGAGTGGGTTTGCTAGGAGAGATAAGTGGGCTGGCTTAAGGGTTGTGTTCATTTTTTTCTCCAGGGGGGGGGGGTGGACACGGTTAAAAGTAGGCCTATATATTTTTTATATAGATTTCATTTCGTTCGGGGGGGGGGGGGGCAGAGTCTCCACGAAGAGATGCCTGGAAGAGACACTGGTTGTGTTTTTAAAAGAGGGTGTTGGCTTTAGGGTTGTATTGTTAGAAGTAGAAGAGTGGGTTCGCTTTAGGGTTGTACAGTTAGGAGAGAGGGTTGGCTTCAGGGTTGTACAGTTAGGAGAGTGGGTTGGCTTGTGGAACAAAGTGGGTTGGCATTATGGTTGTGTTATGAGAGTGGGTTGGCTCAAAGAGAAACGTTGTTTGAGGTTGTAATGCTGGGAGAGAAAAGTGGGTTGGCATTAAGATTGTGGGTTGGTTTTAGTGTGTTTATGTTGTATGAGAACTGTGCACATAATATATCATCAAAAGTGGTACCGGGAGTAGTTTATCATTTTGTTATTTTATGTTATACAGGGTCAGCTGGTCTATTCAATTAATATTTATTGTTATTGCGTACGCTAGGGAATGGATAAAAATATCCTGTGTGTTTATATATATAAGATCCCATAATGGTGATAAATCTGATAGCTTACAAAATATATTCCAGTTCAGTTCTCCAACTATTTCATGTGTCTTCCACAGGTTATGTACTACACAGACAAGACAGAAACCAAACTCAAAGGCTCCGTCTGTTTTCAAGCCATTGAGGAGGTCTACGTCGACCACTTACGCACAGTGAAAAGCCCCAGCCCAAAACTGACATTCTGTATGAAGACGTACGACAGGACATACTACCTGGTGGCGCCATCTCCCGAGACCATGACCATATGGATCGATGTCATATTTTCAGGGGCGGAGGGCTACCAGCAGTTTTTTGATAGCTAGTAGTTTCTGCCAGTTCAGGGTTGGTGGGTAGTTTTAGGGGAGGGGTTTCATGCCTGGTGGGTGGGGCCAACTTTGTGACTGTATTATGTGATACGATTTTTGATTGTCTGATTGGTTACGCTAATTAGAATGGTAAATTTACTAATGAGTTGATATAAATAAAAGGGGTGTTTTATTGTAAATTTTTTTCTGTTTTTGTAAATAAAAACAAAACTTTCAGCAGCCCACTGACCATATGAATGTCACTATGCAACTGACCTATTTGGTCATTGGTATTTTCTGCATTGTTGCCTCGTAAATTATACAGGGGTCATTTTCTTACTAGATCAAAATTTATTTTCTTTTTTTAATTGTCATTAAGTTTTCATTTTTTATTTATTTTGTCATAAAATTAAATCACTGTTAACTGTTTATATTTTAGAACAATAGAATCTTTTGCACAAAAAGACTGTTTAATGTTATATATACAATGTAAAGTAAAACTTATTATTTAGGATATGATATTTTCTCTATAAAAAAAAACTTTTATTCCATAAAAAATAACTCTAAAAGAGAAGAAAAATATGGCAGTATCACCATAACAACGGGTAGTAGATTTCAAAGTGTACATTTTAATATCTAATTTGGTTCTATTGAGATTTGCTTTAAGAATATTTTATATCCTCTTTCTTGCTATCTTTTGTACTCTGGCTTAACATAGGGTTAATTTTTTAGTTAATTTGAAACATAAAAGCATTGATAGTTACATGTGAAATGTCAGTGAATTCAAATGCCTTCTCAAGTTATAAAACCTTTTAGTAATCTAGATTTCCTATGTTTTATTTATTGTTTTATTTTACTTGTACTGGATTATTTGAAGAATTGTATTATTTCAACTGTCTACATTGAGCTAAATTTTTTAAAATTTGTTCATCTTTTATTGGGGGGTCTAAACTGCATACTCATCTGCTATGGTTCTTATGTTTTACTCGATTCTTTTTATTTTAGTAAAGTCAATTTTATTGTACTATTTTATTGAATAGCTTATTCATGTTTAAATTTTTGTAGGAAAAAAAGCAAGAATTACTTTTGTTGAATTAATTTTTATAAATGTGTTGTTGAAAAGCTGCAAATGTAATAGACAGCTACCTAGTGATTTAAAACATCAAATCAAAATATGATGATAGTTTTAACAACACAAAACAATTTCCTTCTAAAATGAAGAATTTAATTTTTTTCATTCATTTTCTTACGATGTTAATCATAAATGGAAAAACTATTCAAATGACAACTCAATTGTTTATTTACAGTAGGATAATGCTCACTCATATAAACAAGGACTTCTCGTAAGTGCAAAAACTGCAGTCATATTTTCATTGGCGCCATCTATGTCAAAAAGTTTTTTCAATAACTGTTGCCATATTATTTATTACAGATATAAATTCTGTAATCAGTTTGATAATTAATTGTCTTTTTTTTTCCCTCACTTTCAACAAGTTTGTATTTCCTTTTTTACCATTTCTGAGGAATGTGTGGGGTGAAAGTTTTCAATCACTGGGGTTGTCTTATCTTGTGTTTTTTGGCAGATTTGTCTAATCTAATTTACCCGGCTGGGCCCTACAAATCAAAGTTTGTGTAGACTTGACTTTATTTTCCTCATAATCTGAATCTCAGTGTAATCTGATAATGTTAACTCATTTAATATCAATTTTTGGAACTTGTTTGAAATCAAACACCTCGTTTCAGAATTTCAATCAAAAACTGTCTATAATTTTTAAATTTTCTTTTTCATTTGAATACCAATGAATTTTATATACAGGAAATTTGATTAGTAATTTGTTTTTGTTTTTTTTTTGGTTTTAAAAATGAAACAAATATTAGATTTAGAAATTAAATAAATACTTTAATTTATGTTATATCTATAATTGTTTTACTACTTCCATTCGAGAGTTTGTATGTAAATAACTTAAAAGTAATTTATTGCAAATGTGTTATACAATTTTTAGGGTTTTTTTTATGTATAAACTGATATTTATAAATTTAAGACAACTCAGTATTGACAGATCTAGACTTTTAAAAAACACAGTTATCTCCCCTTCACACGCAGACTAGAATTTTTGTAATACATCAGTTGTCATAACAATAATTTTTTGTACCGCTTAATTAAGAAACTGGAGTAGTTTGCTGTAGCTGGATGTTGCTGCTCAATTGATTTTGTCCCTGTCGTTAAGATTTTCGTGTCTAGTCTAGCTTAGATATTTACCCTGAAACATTTCATTTTTGTCACTGTTTTGTGTTCTTTTGTCAGGATTATATATAATTTTTTATTGCTTTGTTCGATTTCTTATGGGAACAAACAATGGCTTTCCTTGTGTTCAATACAAAATTTTAAATGGGTTAACTGACAAATTATTCTTAATTGTAATTTTGTCTAAAGGCTGTTGTTTAGGTCTATACACAGAAATTTTATTATAGATCCAGTTCTAGAATCTAGTAATTCTAGTATAAAAGATGATTAACATTTAACATACCATCATTACAGGTAATTAAAAAGTATGTAGTTGATGCTTTTTTTTTTCTGTTTTTTTTGTTGTTTTTTTTTTTTTTTTTTTTTTTGGAAAGATGTGTCTAATATATTTCATAGAATCTATTTTTTTTTTATATCCATGCTAGAAATAAGGTTAGAAATAAGTACATTTGTTTTATTTTTACAAGACCACCTGCTATTTTACAACAGTAAATTTGTTTTACTGCTTTTTTTTTTAAATTATTTTTGCTAATTATAGTTCGGGCACATTAGATCTAGATTTCTATATATTTTAAATTTAACCATTCTTGCGTGTATGTCCATATACTTAATTTTTTTACCCACCTACATAAATATACTGCTGTTTTCCTGCATACTTTGGGTAATGTTTTCACACGGGGTTTTTAAAGCGAGACTACACAAGTCAAGTCTACTTACAATAAATATCTAATATATTTTTTTTGTTAATTATATATGTTTATTTTTGTCATGATTTCATGTGTATGTATTTCATTCTAGAACTTAAAAAGAAAACATTTTAATTAAATATCGCTACTTATATAATTTCTCAGTGTGTTAACTTTATTTGTTATCGTAGTTTTTTTTTTCGTTCATGAAGAATAGACTTATCGCTCCAACACCTAGCACCATCTATCTACCGGCGATTTCTTACCTAAATTGTTTGCAACGTAAGTTGAAAGAAACCAAGCACATAAAAATGACACTTTCTTCTTTAAAGACAGTGGGCAGCCTAGAGTTACAATAGTAAAAGTCAACCTCCCCCCCCCCCCCCCGGAGACGAGGTATATCCTACCCGTAATACGTTGACCGGTCGGCAAGCTGGGTAACTGTCCTGCTACACACCCCTTATGGGGGCGGAGGGGGACGACATATGTCTCCGGGCGCCGACCTTAGGGGGGGGGGCGCCAAAATGGGTTGGAAAAAGAAATTGAAAGTTTGAGGGGGGGGGGGGGTGCAAATCGAAAGTTTGTCCTCGGGCGCCTGGAAGGGTCGCTACGCATCTGTATGGGGTCACCCATTAAGACATCAATAAACAATATAAATTATATAAATTGTTGGCCCCTTCCATCTGTGTTTGAGGTATCTCTAATTACAGGTTTCTTTCAGGCATCTTTTCAATGGAAAGGGGCGAAATACAATAATAAAAATAATATATTTCTATATATATATATACATACATATATATATAATATATATATATATATAAATAAAATAATAAAATAATAAAAATAATATATTTATATATATATATATATATATATATATATATATATATATATATATATATATATATATATATATACATATACATAATATAATATATATATATATATATATATATATATATATATATATATATATATATATATATATATATATATATATATATATATATATATATATATATATATATATTTATATTATATATATATATATATAATATATATATATTTATATTTATATTATATATTTATATATATATATATATATATATATATATATATATATATATATATATATATATATATATATATATATACATATATATATATATATATATATATATATGTATATATATATATATATATATATATATATATATATATATATATATATATATATATATATATATATATATAATCATAGAGAGAGAGAAAATATGCTTTAAGCTTTTTCCGCCCCTTCCGCGGAACCGTTGCCTGGCGTCAGGAAATTAATTGCTATATCTGAGTTTTACTGGGTGGGTTGGTGATGGATTAAACAGGATTGTGGAACACTTTTAATTATAGTGGTATCCGTAGGGCCTATATTCAGGTGCTATTCTGGTAGCTATTTTTTAGGGTTGGACAGAGTCGCCTGGACAGCGTGGATAATCCTTGACCTTGTAGGCATGGGTCCTCAGGCTTGAGGGAAAATAAATGCATTATGAAACCTTATGTTGGCAGGGGCGGCATTTTATTTATTTCCAGGTCGCTGGACACCCAGTCCGACCCTACCAACACCATATTGTTGGATTATAAATTTAGCCAAATAACGTGGCATGCAGAAAATAGAAGCAATCGCCTGCTGGTACCGTGGTATCACAAAGAGGAGATGGGGGGGGGGGGGGGAGTCCGCAGAGGGTGACACAAAATTGAAAAATCATAAAATGTAGTGCCAAAACGGTTTTTTTTTCAGTTAAAAATAACTTTTTAAAAAGTAGGGCGTAGTTGACAAGTCAGAAAATGGGAAAAAAAACTTACGGTCAAAACAATTTATTATCCAATAAAAATAAAAACAATTTTTGAAAATGTAGGAGAGAGAGGTAATACCAAATCTAAAATGCAAAAATGTTGGACACCCCACCTTGTGACGCCACTAACGTTGGTGTCACTAGTTTTTTTTAATGAGCTGCTTCAGCAGAAACGGTTACTTTACTGTAACACGGTTACTTTACTGTAACTTCCTAAAATACAAGGTTATGTTTCATCATCTCTCTACACCCATCAACTCACGGAACATCAATAAGGCAGCGTCCCCCTCCACATTTTGGGGCGGTATTTCACCTTTAAAAGTAACCTGCCGTTAAAGCTAAAGCCTAAAATGTAGGCCCGATAAATTTTGCTGCTACGTATTCGATAACGGAAATAGTTAATAAGTTTATAAACACACGTCTCGTTAATTTTTTTAAGCTTCGACTGTGGAAGATTAGGTAATGATGTTGAAAACGAATTTTAAATATATTTTTTATCCATGTTGGCGCCCTAATACCCGGTACTCCTACCCCCTCCGCTAGGCTAGAGACTGTTTATTTTACTAGAGCCAACACAAATCTTAGCATCAAACTTATCACACATAATAAATTAAACAAAAACGGCGATGGGTGCTAAATTTATTTTTATCATACCGCTGATAATGCATACGCTAGTGTTTTTGGAGATGAGTACAAAGTACACTCGTATATAGCAGTGTTCTGAGCTTGCACAAGATTGGTACATAAGAGTTTGACAGTGACCCAGTTTTACGCCAGCTGGTTCATTGCTGCTGATGGTGCAACCATTCACCGGCTGCAATCCATATATTACAAAACGTAAGTTCCATTGAATATATCCATTGTTTGAAGTCCAACAAATAGATCTAATTACTGAATTATTCAATAAATCGTCCCTGATCTTAATTTCGGAGCATAAAGGAGCAAAGTAAGAGAATTTTTAGGTTTTTTTTTTAATTTTCTTTCGCCTTTTAAGTTCCATGGCTAAAATAAATAGATTCTAATAATTATTAAATAAATATTAAAGTTAAGTTTCTAGTAGACTAGTTATTATAGTAGTTATGTTACAGTTAAGAATTAAGCCTCATACTTTTTTTATTACTTATGGGTCAATATTTAGTTATTTACTCTATAGTATAGGCCTAGTTATAGGCTTAATAGAAACTAATATAATTAATTTTGTCATTATTTTATAATCAAACACTATTGCTAAACGTAGAATAGGCGTCTTTAAACATAAGTTATGAAGTGCGAACAAATACTTTATTTTTAATATAAAAATATTATATGCATGCATAAGCCTAAATATAGTAAATACTCTAAATAGTAGAAAACCTCAACTATTAGCCAGAATGTCTAATTTTAATTATGATTTTAACCTGATCCTCATTGAAGTTTGCAGTATGACTATGAACCTGTTCACTCAACTCTAATCAATACCTGACATGAGTTAAGGACCATATATTATGCTATGGTAACTACGTAACTAGAGTTGTATGGTTATGGCATATTTAATCAGGAAAATGTGATGCAGACTTTGATGCAGAAGTAGTGACCCATTCAGGAACCTGATGTAAACTATCAGTTTTGCACACCTCCCCCCACCCCCCATTTATATATATATAGGTATATATAGGCCTATAGGTATTCAAATAGATTTTTAATCATTCACTTTCCCTTTTCATTTTAGTGTCACACATCTAATGTAGAAAACAGCCTGTTATAATGTAAAGCCAAAAAGAAGTCTATTTTCTTAAGTTTTACTGTGTACAATTCACTCAGTGATGTAGCCCAGAATCCACCCAATGTCTCCTAGCTACGCCTCTGGCCTTCGAACATCACCAGAAATGTATGGGTTGTTAAATTTATGCTCTAACGCTTGACCACACCTTTCAATTATGAAATATGTAATTGACCCTTCATTATTTTTAGTAATTTTTTTTTTATTAATTATTTTTATGTATAATTTCCAGATGTATCTACCATTTCTTGGAGATGTGTCTTTGTGGCTCCTCCTACTTGTTGCAATTCTGACAGCATTCTATTTGTACACAACAAGCTTTGTGGGCGTGTTCAAGGCTGTTGGAATCCCTGGCCCCGCCCCTTGGCCAATCATAAACCACATACCTGAGCTAAGGAAGCATGGTCTATCTAAGATGCTGGATGATTGGAGAGCAAAGTATGGCAAGACTTATGGGATTTATGGCTTGTTTCCAAGGTGTGCAACCCTCGTGACCTTTGACGCGAGGTTACTTGAATATATTATGGTCAAAGACTTCAGCAATTTTGTTGATAGAGTTGGGAGAAATACATCTCTGAGTGCTGTTGTTCATGTAAGTGTTTCTACTTCTGTGTCAACTCTAGGTAGTTTTAAAGATAGTAATTTTCGAAACGATAACTTTTCAGCTTAAGATGACTGTTTAGGACAATGACTAGTTTTCTGAAGGTCTTTCCCCAATACTGGCATCCCTGCCAATACTAGACTTCAGATGAGGGTTGAGGTCAGCGTGGTCGAGTTGGTAAAGCTCACATTTGCTAAACTGAAAAGTCTCGAGTTCGAACCCATGAGCAGATGAGCTCGTTAGCTGGGGACAGCCACTCTTCTAGGAGAGACAACTCCAAAATCAAACAACTGCTGCCTCGTAGTTTGTTCTTGTTTGGACAAAGGCTTTGGAAGCAAATCCAAAAAGGAAAGCTGGCTGAAATCGGAGTCAATGGCCTCAATGGCGCATAACCAGTTGACACGAATACTTAATTGTGATGGAGGCGTGGTCGAGTCGGCAAAAGCTCATGGTTGATAAATTTGAAAAAGTCACAAGTCTAAACCCTCTGGCAGATAAGGCTCGATCCCTTCCAACACTAAAAATTAAGAAAGAAGAAGAAGAGATGAGGGTTAGGTCAGTTCCCCCACTCCACCCACATCCAGCCCCACATCCATTAATGCTAGTGTATGAATTTGTTCTGAATCTTTGATATTGATTCTGACTTTTTTATTTCTCTGTCATCTCAGGGTTTATTTTTCCTGAATGGGGACCACTGGACCAGGTCTAGACATGTGTTGTCTCCCATGTTCACTGCTGGGAGGTTGAAGCAGATGCTGCATCATGTCAACACCAGCGCTGCCGGCCTGGTGGCTCTCATCAAGAAACACAAGGAGGAGGGGAAGCTCATCCCTCTCAAGGCAACAGCAGGTGGGTTCATGAAGGGAGAGATAGGGGGGGGGGGGGGGGGGGAGGCTCAAGGTCACAGCAGGTATGGTCATTAGGTGACACACTTTTTGATAAACTGTTTTTTTTTTACATTTATTAGTTAGAATGTATTTCATTCTTTTAGCTGTTTTAAAAAATTATTTATGATGTTTTAAAATGTGTATCTAGGTCAAGCACTTTATTGCCCTAGATAATTCATATCTCTAACTTTAAGATATTTGCATTTCTTATCATTAAGGGAAATAACTTTGGCCTTAAATTATAACTGAAAGAGTGTTACAGTTTTTAACTAAATTAAGGTTGCACTTTAAAAAAAAAAAATTCATATTAATAATAATAAAACACAATACATGTTTATTATTTACACCTAAAACTGGAAACTTCTAAATTTTCCTTTACATATTTTCAAATCTAACTTTTTATTTTATTTTAAGTGGGGGCATACAATGAATTTCACACAATTTTAATAGATTTGTAACCTCTCCCCTTCATCATTTCTACAATACAGACAGCCAGACTCTCTTCACATATTTAAAAAAAAAAAATCTTCATCATCCCCTGCACCTAACATGACTTAATTTATTTTAAAATTTTTCTCCATTAGCCCGATACACGTCCGACGTTATTGCTAGGGTAGGTTTTGGTGTAGATTCCAAAGCTTTGACGGAAGAAAAAAGTGAATTTGCTTACAACATCAACAACTTTATTCGCATTCCTGCCACACGTCTGCAAGACATTCTCAGGTGCTGATTTCTATGTTACGACTGTTTAAAATTAAAGTTTAGATTCTTAGGTTTCAATTTTTTGGAGCCTGTCTAGAACTTCATCAAAATTTTTATCTTAACTTACTGTTTTGGCGCTGTTTAATAACTTCACTAAGTTAAAATTATCACATTAATCCACAATTTATAAACTGATATTAATGCAAAACTAAAAGTCTCTAAATGTGGGTTGTTAAAAAAATTAAAATTAAAATTGTTTTGGGTGATTCTATTTCTAGATTCAAAATTTAAAAAATATTTTCGTTTTATTTTAATTTGGTTACAAAAGTCACGAAAACCAATTTTGTGATGCTGTTGTGTGTGAAATTAATAGTAAAAAACAGATATCGTTTCAGATCCTTGGTCTTTGTCTATCACATTTATTTAATACGCCTAATATATTTATTAATAGTTTTTATTAGATTATGAATTTAATTTGTTTTGAAAAAAGTTCAGATTATTTTTACACACTTAATACATGTTAATATAGTTTATTTTAATGTTATTGCTGTATGATCCATTGTCACATAATGTCACAGGAGTGACAAAAAATGTTTTCAAAAAGTATTCCTATATATTCATGTTATGATTAGCAATATACGAATATTATTTTTTTATTTCTTTACAGGACTGTTGGTGAATTTTTCCCCCCAGTAATGAAGATTGGTCTTGCTGTATTTAACGAGCAAGTGGATGCTATTTTACCAGAAACCAATAATTATTTCATTAACTTTATCAATGAAGCGATTGATCGTAAACTAGCTGAGAAGAAAAATAAAGGTATGAATAAGAAATTATTGAAGCTTCTTGTTCATTTTATACTTTCAGCAAACTAACTGACTGACTTGTAAATGTTTTTTTTTAATTGTAAAATAAATGTTCTCCACCACCTTTAAGTTCCCATTAATGTTCCCCACACTTTATTCTAAGTTCCCCCTAATATTCCCCAGACACCTCTAAGAAGACCCACCTGGACATGCTTGACATGCTACTTGAAGCAGAGGTCGATGACCGGACAGGTCAACAGCTGACCGCAGCAGACAGGAAAATCACCAGGAAATACGTCATCGGCAACTCCGCCATCTTGATCTTAGCTGCCTTTGAAACCACGTCAACAGCTCTGAGCTCCATCTTGTACCTACTGGCCAGGCACCAAGACATTCAGGACAAGGTCATTGAAGAAATTGACGAGGTCATGCAGGGCAAGACCAAACCCACATACGAGGACATGGCTAAGCTGACCTATACAACTCAGGTATTTTTATTTTCAATGTTTACACTAACTCCACACTGTACTTAAACTGTACTTAACTGCAGTAGAAGTTCCTAAGTTTGTGCCTTAAAGATGGCATTGATCCAGGCAAATCATTAAAGATAGTTTCTGTGGTCTTAATTGAGTTTACATTATACTTTGAATTAACTACCCCATATAATCAGAGCTATTATAGGCCTATCACTAGGGATAATGTGTTCAGCTGAGTTAAGTACCCAACAATGCTGTTCTGGTATACAAACAGGAATGTACCACAAATTTTCTATATTAGTCATGACTTATAGGTTTGCTGTACATCTATACATAGCATCATTTTTATATATATACCACAAGTACAACATTTTTTAGAAGGCAAAATTGAACAAAAAAAAAACTGATTTATAATATATTAGATTAAAAATTAATAGTTTATTTTTTAAAGAATCTCCAAAATTACTTTAATTCTTTCTACATCTTCATTTAGTATTAGTAAAAAGAAAAACAGTTTACAATCCGAAGAAGCTAAATTTCAGTCAAAAAAATGCAAACCCAAAAATAGTTAACATATTCCATGGAAAATGGCTTTAATACCAAACAATTAGTGCAATAGATATAAATATATGAGCTTATATATACATATGTGCAAGCTGTGTATGTTGTATGTTGTACTCACCAGGTGATCTACGAGTCACTGAGGATGTTTCCCCCCTCACCTGACATCACACGCAGGGCCAAAGAGACCAGAAACTTCAACGGGATGACCATCCCAAAAGGTGTCACAATTTTCATCCCCATCTACAAGATTGTCAAAGACCCTGAATATTTCCCCGACCCCTATAAATTTGACCCGGACAGATTTTCACCCCAGAGGAAGTCTGAGATTGACCCCGTGACCTTTTTACCTTTTGGGTTTGGCAGACGACAGTGTGTGGCTAAACGTCTGGCACTTGTGGAAATTAAAGTAGGTTTTTTTGATGTTTTTGTTTTTTATTGTTTTTTTTGTTGGTTTTTTTTTACAAATATCTTTGTTGGTACTGCTTTTACAAGTATAATTATTTCCAGAACTGATTTAAATTGTATTTTTTAAAATTTAGTTATAAGTTATGGCTGGCCCTTTAATAAAAAATTATTGTGCTGTGCTATTTCAACACTTTAATATTTTATCACAAGAACCCAACTTTGTCTAAGTAGTTTTATTACAGTTGTTTTATTACAGCTGTCTAAATGATCAGCGTTTTTGCACCTGTTTTAACTTTTAAACAAAGATGTTTTATTTTACAAGAGTTCTTGCCCTTACGTTAACTAATTGTTTAAAAGATTTTTTTTACAATGTGGTTATCTCCCTTACAGTAACACAAAATAACTCTTAATATAATAAAATATTGTCCTATTGTCCTCCCCAGGTTGTCCTGTGTCATCTACTGACCACCATGAGGTTTGTCCAAACAGACAGGACAGAACCGGCTATTGGAAACGAGGCTGAGTACATCCACATGGATGGATTTTTTGTGGCCAAGAAACCCATTGAGATGGATATAGTGCTGAGGAACTAGAGAGGTCATTTTAAAGGTCACACTAAAAATAGACCATGACATCAAGTCTGTCAAAACAATAAATTTGTTTACATTCTGGAAATAGAACAATTTTGTAATTTTTATAAAAAGAATATTTTTTTATACTCGTCAATTAATGAACTGATTGTTTAGTTAAAGAGCTGGACTTGTTAGATCACTTTGTTGTGAAATTATTTTTCCTGTCAGTGATTTGTCCCACTAGATGGCTCTGCTAGTCCATTATTCTATTTTTGTTTAATTTTAAAAGGCAGCATTAGTAATATAGACAAGTAATCTATTTAATGTTTATGGATGTTTTTTAGTTAGTTTTCTTTTTCAAGGAATTTTTTTTTTATCATCTCTAAAGTAGATTTTATAGATCAAAATTTGTCAAAAAAGACTTTATTTAATTTAAAAAACTGATGTTTTCTTTTATGAAACTGCCATACATTATTTAGAAAAGTAGGCCTATATTTTTTATTTAAAAAAAAATATATATATATATATATATATATATATATATATATATATTTTTTTTTTTTTTTTTTTATTTTTTTTTTTAAATAACATATTTGTTTATTAAAGTAATTCTGTTTATTATAGATAGTTGTGATTTTTTAAATGAAATTGCAAAATATAAATGTTGAATGTGCTGCTTTATTCCTAACATGTTAATAAAGGAATATGTTATATTGCCATGATGATTCACAATAGTGTAAATATATCCAATTTTTTTAATGAATTAGGCATCTGTGTTATATATATATATATATTTTATGACAATATATAAATTCATTATTACTTCCGCTTGTAACAATTATATATTCAGCTTAATTAGTTATATTAAAAATTAAGTGATATAGACTGATGTTACCAATAAATATTGTAATGTTTGTAAGATACCAGTGAGTGAAATGTGATTCTAAACCTGCCTAGTAACAAGGTTTATACTAAAATAAATTTTTATGCTTTTTTATGTGTTTGCCATGTTAACCTTTTTTTTTTGTAGATGTTTTTCATGTTTATTTGTTTTTTGTTTTGTCATTATGTTACTAAAAAAAAATATTAAGGCTAAAATACTGGAAAGAATTTCCCGCTGTCAGAATGAACTAGACAGCCCACACAATGGATTAGCATAACATCTTTCTGGGCCAGCTGATATATTTAATGTTTAGGGCTAATACATGGTTGTTGGATTAAAGTGGATGGGGTGGCCTGCTTGTTCTAGGAAACTAGAAAAGTGATTTTACCATTAGCCTATTTTATTTGTTTTAAAAATTATTAAAGTAAATTAAAAAATAAAAGTTGTCTCCCATGACTCGTCTTAAAATAACAGTGTTAACATCACCTGTCACAGATTTGTGTTCAGACATTGTTTCCTTAACGAGAAAACTCCCTAAAATAATTCGCTCAGTTAAATAAAGAACATGACCTAAATATACGATGACAAATGTGTTAATAAATTACCTCAGTACCAAAAGTAAAAAAAAAATGACAGTTTTGAAAGGCTATAAATGATGCAACATTTCAAACATTAGGTACTACATTACATTGTAAAGCATTCAGACGAGCAGCATTATAACCTTTAATAAATGATAGAGAAGAGGCAAAGTCTATAAGTCTATGCCACCAGTGTACTATGAAGGTATGCTGTGATATTAGTTTTTAATAGATTAAAAGTCAAATTTCGGAATGTTAATTTTTTTTTAAAGTAGGCCTACTAAGTTAACAAGAATTAGAAACAAATATAAACTCAACAGGTATAAAAAAATGTTTATGTTAACACGCTTCAGAATATACAAAAAATGAAAATTAATGCTAATGCCCTTAGTTATAAATACTAGGGTCTAAAAATAGAAGTGTTTGTCACTGAAAATGTCAGTTCAATACATTAGTTGAACAATGTTTCCATCTGTGTTAACAACACTTCATCACACTCCAACTAAGTGCTACAACAGCTGATCAAAGTTCATCTGACTTTGGGGTCATCCATAAATGACGTCACACTCGTAGGGGGGAGGGGGGTCCGTAATTTTGTGACGATGTGTGATGAGGGGGAGGGGGGGGGGTCAGATGTTGCGACGTCACATTTTTGCATTATAAATAAGCAATGTTAGAAAACGAATTTTAGACGTTATTTCGCGTTTTAGATAATTGTTTTAATAAATTGTAATAGTTTAGACAAGATTTTGGAAAAATATCAATGTTTTAAAAAAATTCAACTGCAATTTTGAGGGGGGTTGTAGGTTGAGGTGTGACGTCATTTTAGGGGGGGGGGGTCTGGCTTTTTGTGACGAAGTGTGACGGAGGGGAGGGGGGGGGAGGTAAAAATCGTCAAAAAAAGCGTGACGTCATTTATGGATGACCCCTTTAGGGTGAGTGAGAGGTGAGTTTACCTTACTTAATAAATAGCCTACATCCAGTGGCGTAGCGACCCTTCCCGGTGTCCGGGGACAAATTTTCAATTTGCACCCCCCCCCCCCTCAACTTTTCGATTTGCACCCCCCCCCCCCCTCAAACTGCAAAAATGCAGCTAAATTGACATTTTAATTTGTTTTTACAACCCATTTTGGCGCCCCCTAAGGTCGGCGCCCGGGGACTAATGTCCCCCCTGCCGTCCCCCCAATCGCTACGCCTCTGCCTACATCTACAAAACAGACAAGTGATAAAATAAAGCGTGTGAGAGATTGGTTAAAGATTACAAAAACTGATTCAATTATTACCAGAGTTGAAAATTAAAGTGGGACAATAATTTTGAACTGTGGCCTAGTTTTAACGAAAGCTTACTCGTTGCTGTTGATGGTGCAACAATTCACCGGCTGCAAAGTATACTAATTTCAGCTTTGTTTATCCTATAAACATGTTCATTGCTTAATGTGGAACCCACACTGAATTATTCAATATTGATCTATAACGCTAACTTCAGTATATAAGGACCATACAACTACAAAAACAGTAAGATACGTCTTTTGGATTTCTTTTTTTTTCCTACGTCACAAGTCGAAATAATATCCGTAATTGTTAATTAATTATTCCTCTTCCAAAGGCCAACAGTAATAAAATAGGGCATTGATATCTTCAGTTGAGTTCGGGCGCATTTGATATTTTTTGTAGGTGTGGGGGGGGGGGGGACTCTAGTAAAAGTAGGCTATTTTCAACATAAATTAGGCCTATATATTTTTTTTTCGTCTGAGGATAGGGGTAAGGGAAGTGACCAAAAAACTCTGGTACCCTAAAAAATTAAAGACAATTGTTAAGTACAATGAACATTGGGACCTAAAGCCTTGGTCAGCACGCAACAGACAAAAATAATAATCATTAAAAAAGTTTTTAAAAACCCACGTTTTCTGATTGAACTAAAAAGTAGAAAATAAATGCTATACATCACAATAATGCAAGCGATCACTCTACTATAAGCGATCAAAAACGTGGGGCGCCGAAGTAAAAGTTATATTACTATTGATTAGATAATACTATTGACTTTTATTAGGGAGCTTGTAGAGAGTCAACAGTATTAGAAACTTTAAGAAAATCACGGCGCCCCACGTTTTTGATCGCTTATAGTAGAGTGATCGCTTGCATTATTGTGATGTATAGCATTTATTTTCTACTTTTTAGTTCAATCAGAAAACGTGGGTTTTTTAAAACTTTTTTAATGATTATTATTTTCTACTTTTTAGTCTTTGTCTGTTTGTTTGCATTAAAATCTTGCTATCGATTTTATCTTTTCACTTTTTTTTTTGGGTAAACGAAGACAACTCGTAAAAAGACAACTCGTAAAAAGACAACTCGTAAAAAACACGTTGTGTGAATACGTTACTGACTAGAACACATAGATTTGAACCCGTGTGGAGTGGGATAGCAATCGTGTGCCCAACCACTCGACCATGTCGTCTCCCCCAAACTGGCCACCAGTGGTAATAGTTATCTCTTGTAACTTTAAAGTCGGTTAAAACTAAATTATCTGCCCCTAAGCCTGTCGCGAAGTGGGATCGTTCGCTTCACTGCGCGCGGCAAGAGAGAGGCTAGCTACGCGTCGCTGGTTTTTTCTAATGGCTCGCAGAGGAGAATTATATATATAGATTATATAGCGGTCTAAAATGCTCAATAAAATGTTTCCATTGATCAATTTAGTAATAATAACAATTGCATATTCTATGGTCATCCAAAAGAAAGCTTCCCTGAAAATTTCAGCGCGCTAGCTAACTGGGAAGTGCCAGAAATTTCGATCGCAAGATTTGATTGGAAAGACAAACAAATAAACAAACAGAGAAAGCAAGTTAAAGAAAACGTGGGAAAAAGACAAACAGTAACACGAATTTGGACCAGTGTTTCTTTCAGACTTTTTCCCCCCGGGGGGGGGGGACTTGATGATTTTCAGGGGAGGGCGGACTAAATTTCCCGTAGGGGGGGGGGGTAAGCGGACACGGGTAAAAGTATATATTCGCTATATAAATTTCACTTCGTTCGGGGGGTGGGGTAGACTTTCTTCGAAGGCGGAAGAAACTCTTTTTGATTTGGACTTAGCCCGACAACGAAAACGCGTCTTGTCCAAATGAAGACACGCGGCTTGCGGGAAAAATGTGCAACCGGAAAACTGCGAACACGGAAAACTGCACAAACAGAAATAATAATCATTAAAAAAGTTTTAAAAAACCCACGTTTTCTGATTGAACTAAAAAGTAGAAAATAAATGCTATAGGCCCTACATCACAATAATGCAAGCGATCACTCTACTATAAGCGATGAAAAACGTGGGGCGCCGAAGTAAAAGTTATATTACTATTGATTAGATAATACTATTGACTTTTATTAGGGAGCTTGTAGAGAGTCAACAGTATTAGAAACTGTAAGAAAATCACGGCGCCCCACGTTTTTGCTCGCTTATAGTAGAGTGATCGCTTGCATTATTGTGATGTAGGGCCTATAGCATTTATTTTCTACTTTTTAGTTCAATCAGAAAACGTGGGTTTTTTAAAACTTTTTTAATGATTATTATTTTCTACTTTTTAGTCTTTGTCTGTTTGTTTGCATTAAAATCTTGCTATCGATTTTATCTTTTCACTTTTTTTGGGTAAACGAAGACAACTCGTAAAAAGACAACTCGTAAAAAGACAACTCGTAAAAAGACAACTCGTAAAAAGACAACTCGTAAAAAGACAACTCGTAAAAAACACGTTGTTTGAATACGTTACTGACTAGAACACATAGATTTGAACCCGTGTCGAGTGGGATAGCAATCGTGTGCCCAACCACTCGACCATATCGTCTCCCCCAAACTGGCCTACCTCCTGTAACTTTAAACTCGGTTCAAGCTAAATTCTCTGCCCCTAAGCCTGTGGCGACATGTGATCGTTCGCTTCACTGCGCGCGAGGTACGCGTCGCTGGTTTTTTTCCCACGTTTTCTTTAACTTGCTTTCTCTGTGTCTGTGTTTCTGTGTTTCTGTGTTTGTCTTTCCAATCCAATCTTGCGATCGAAATTTCTGGCACTTCCCAGTTAGCTAGCGCGCTGAAATTTTCAGGGAAGCTTTGTTTTGGATGACAATTGAATATTCAATTGTTTTTATTACTAAATTAATCCATGGAAACATTTTATTGATCATTTTAGACCGCTATATAATTGTACCAAAAAACGTGGGGGAAAAGGGACATTACCCAGTAACTGTAATTTGATGAAAACAAGGTTCGGCACTCCCCCTCTTTTTGCTTACTGAGTAGTTGTCACGCTGTGTTTGTGTACAAACAACCATAACGTAACAACTGGTGGCCAGTATGGGGGAGACGATATGGTCGAGTGGTTGGGCACACGATTGCTATCCCACTCGACACGGGTTCAAATCTATGTGTTCTAGTCAGTAACGTATTCACACAACGTGTTTTTTACGAGTTGTCTTTTTACGAGTTGTCTTTTTACGAGTTGTCTTCGTTTACCCAAAAAAAAAGTGAAAAGATAAAATCGATAGCAAGATTTACATGCAAACAAACAGACAAACACTAAAAAGTAGAAAATAATAATCATTAAAAAAGTTTTAAAAAACCCACGTTTTCTGATTGAACTAAAAAGTAGAAAATAAATACTATACATCACAATAATGCAAGCGATCACTCTACTATAAGCGATCAAAAACGTGGGGCGCCGTGATTTTCTTACAGTTTCTAATACTGTTGACTCTCTACAAGCTCCCTAATAAAAGTCAATAGTATTATCTAATCAATAGTAATATAACTTTTACTTCGGCGACCCACGTTTTTGATAGCTTATAGTAGAGTGATCGCTTGCATTATTGTGATGTATAGTATTTATTTTCTACTTTTTAGTTCAATCAGAAAACGTGGGTTTTTTAAAACTTTTTTAATGATTATTATTTGTAATGGCTAGCAGAGGAGAATTATATATATAGATTATATAGCGGTCTAAAATGCTCAATAAAATGTTTCCATTGATCAATTTAGTAATAATAACAATTGAATATTCAATGGTCATCCAAAAGAAAGCTTCCCTGAAAATTTCAGCGCGCTAGCTAACTGGGAAGTGCCAGAAATTTCGATCGCAAGATTGGATTGGAAAGACAAACAAATAAATAAATAAACACACAGAGAAAGCAAGTTAAAGAAAACGTGGGAAAATACGCAAATACAAAATAATTATACTAATACACTTTGATTGTGTCATATTATATTTCGTGGAAATATATTTAGGTATGCTACAATGCACATGTAGTCACTCTGCTAATGTTTATAAATACTCGATTCAAGAAATTAAAAATGTCCTTGCGCACTTTTTTATGCGCAATTTTCCAATGCACAATTTTCCGTTGCGCATCTTTCCGGTCACCGCTAGCAGATGCTTGGAAACCAATTGGGGTAGGTGTTGGTGCGGTGGTATTTGGTGAGAGTATGATGAAAGATACCCGTTATTTTTAACCATTGGGTGCTCGAGTGCAGAGGCGTAGCGACCCTACCCGGCGCCCGGGGACAAACTTTTCGATTTGCACCCCCCCCCTCGAACTTTTCATTTGCACCCCCGCCCCTCAAACTTTCGATTTCCACCCCCCCTCGAACTTTTCATTTGCACCCCCCCCCCTCAAACTTTCAATTTGGCGCCCCCCTAAGGTCGGCGCCCGGGGACATATGTCCCCCCCCCGCCCCCCCCCCCTCTCGCTACGCCTCTGCTCGAGTGCCGTTTTTAGTATGAACCCCGCCTCCCATGTTCGTCAGTTATTTTAATTAATTATTGCAGTATCGGACAGCGTCCACACAAGTTTATTTTGATATTGTACTTGGTCTTTTGAATGTGATTGTCCACAAAAAGACGTGTCATTCTGTATAGATCACATGTGCTGGTTGTTTAATTGACCCTATCAGTCATTAACCTGTTTGTCCAATATAAAAAAAATGTCGCATCGCCTTCATTGGATGACATTACGGAACTTGATTGTAAATTTAGAGGGTTCCCTTAGACAGCTGGAGTTATTTTACCTGAAAGGTGAAGTCACACGTATTGCAGTTACACAGGGATAATATAGTGCTAACACCGGATGTGGTATTAAGTGACAGGCGGCGCCGGACTAAAAGCTCTCTAATATGATCTATGATGAGTGAACTGTCTCACAAAAATGATTCATCGTCATTATTTTTGTATCAGTGTCTTCACTCAGATTTAAAAGATACATGTGAAGTGAATTTCTCTATAGAGACCATGACAAATAAAATATGCTTTTGTAACCGTTACATAAAGGACCAATATGTCTCGCTAGAAATAAGCGCTGTAAAGTAGAGATGAAGCAGAGTTCAACTATGTTCCGACGACCTTGAAAACATTTTTTGAATTTAAGCACGAGAGCTACACCTAAACGTCTGGGTTTGCAAACTTGCGTTGAAGGCAGAGTTTCTTCCTGGCATCTTTTACCGACCCCCACCTCCACCGGAGACAAATATCTGAAAGAAACACTGGTTGTATCCAATGTTTCATCTAAGGGAGATTAGCTAGTGTGCACAATGCATTTTCTGTGAGCGGTGTTCTTAAAGTCTTATACGAGGATATATTTATTTTACAAAATGACTGCGCAGCAGCTCAAAACTACTGCGCGGCCGCGCAACCGCGCAGCTTAGAAGGAACATTGGTTGTATACCATGCCGCTAGACCACATAGTTCCTTAAGGGAATATGCTAATAATCCGGTATGATTTATAACTGTGATTATTTTATTTAATTACATTTATATATATTTCCAGATGTATCTACCATTTCTTGGAGATGTATCCGTGTGGCTCCTCCTCCTTGTTGCAACTCTGACAGCATTCTATTTGTACACTACAAGCTTTGTGGGCGTGTTCAAGGCTGTGGGAATCCCTGGCCCCGCCCCTTGGCCAATCATAAACCACATACCTGAGCTAAAGAAGCATGGTCTATCTAAGATGCTGGATGATTGGAGAGCAAAGTATGGCAAGACTTATGGGATATATGGCTTGTTTCCAAGGTGTGCTACTCTTGTGACCTTTGACGTGAGGTTACTTGAATACATTATGGTCAAAGACTTCAGCAATTTTGTGGATAGAGTTGCAATGAACACATCCCTCTGTGCTGTTGTTCATGTAAGTTTGCAAATGTAGGACGTCGCATCAAATGAGGAGAACAATCATCCATTACAATGAAGAAAATACTTTAAGAATCGCAAATAGACTACATTTTCTTAAAGTTGTTTTGTTTTATATTTTCAAGATTAAATTGTATGTGCGTAAAACTGTAATTGTAATTTTTAAACTAAAATGAAACAATAAAAATAAATTGAAAAAAAATTCCATAAAATAAAAACTATAATTTAAAATCGTAAAATACTCAGAATTCCTCACCCTCCCCATAAAATCTCCACCCCCTTTCTATACTCTGGAGTAAATTTTAGCATATACAGTGTTTCTTTCAGACGTTTTTCTCCGGGGTTGCACTCGAATCCAGAGGCGTAGCGAGGGGGGGGCGGGGGGGACATATGTCCCCGGGCGCCGACCTTAGGGGGCGCCAAATTGAAAGTTTGAGGGGGGGGTGCAAATGAAAAGTTCGAGAGGGGGGTGCCAATCAAAAGTTTGAGGGGGGGGGGGTGTGCAAATGAAAAGTTCGAGGGGGTGTGCAAATCGAAAGTTTGAGGGGGGGGGGGGGTTGCATATGAAAAATTCGAGGTGGGGGGTGCAAATCGAAAGTTTGTCCCCGGGCGCCGGGAAGGGTCGCTACGCCTCTGCTCGAATCTTCCAGGGGGAGAGGGGGGGGGGAAGATACTGGTTTTGAGGTTTTTCAACCTCAAAAAAAAAAATTTCTATTTCTTCCGCGGAAAATCACGGCGCCCCACAAAAAACGTGGGTCGGGCAGATGGGTCGGGAAATTTGATGGTGAACGTACCCACGTTTTTTGTCAGTCATCACAAGAACCTGCACAGCTCGAGGAAGCACAAAAGAAAAATTTATTTTCTACTTTTTAGTCCACAAGAAAAACGTGGTTTTTTAAAAAGTTTTTTTAAAGTATTTTATTCTTACAGTTTCTAATACTGTTGACTCTCTACAAGCTCCCTAATAAAAGTCAATAGTATTATCTAATCAATAGTAATATAACTTTTACTTCGGCGCCCCACGTTTTTCATCGCTTATAGTAGAGTGATCGCTTGCATTATTGTGATGTATAACATTTATTTTCTACTTTTTAGTTCAATCAGAAAACGTGGGTTTTTTTAAACTTTTTAATGATTATTATTATAGATAGAACCGCCCTTGTTTTTTTTTAAAAAGCTCCGTAGATTGAATATGAATAATTCGATTAAAAAGCAACAGATTATCATTTTGAGTTACATGTAAAGTTGATCAATGTTAAATTTCGCATTGTACGTTACAGTCTGACTTTATTTCTCTGGTCTCTCAGGGTTTATTTTTCCTGAATGGGGGACCACTGGACCAGGTCTAGACATGTGTTGTCTCCCATGTTCACTGCTGGGAGGTTGAAGCAGATGCTGCATCACGTCAACACCAGCGCTGCCGACCTGGTGGCTCTCATCAAGAAACACAAGGAGGAGGGGAAGCTCATCCCTCTCAAAGTCACTGCAGGTGGGTTCATGAAGAGAGAGTTAAGGGGAGGGGGAGGCTCAAGGTCACAACAGGTGGGTTCATGAATGGAGGGTTAAGGGGGGGGGGGGAGGCTCAAGGTCACAACAGGTGGGTTCATGAATGGAGGGTTAAGGGGGGGGGAGGCTCAAGGTCACAACAGGTGGGTTGATGAAGAAAGGGTTAAGGGGCGGAGGCTCAAGTTTACAATAGCTAAGCTCATGAACTAGTGGACGGTGTAGCCGGAAGTTACTACTATGACTGCTGACCCGAAATTTTCGTGTGCGAATCACAACTTGTTCTGTTGAGCACCGTAATCGCATCGCATTAGGGCATACTGCTGACACCCCCACCCCTCCTTTCTTCACAGTGTGCAGTTCTTTTTTTTGGACGACACCCAGTGTTTCTTCCAGACTTTTTTTCTCTGTGGGGGGGGGGGGGGGGGGAAGGGTGCACTTGAAATTTTCGGGGGGGGGGGGGGGCGGTAGACTTTCTTCGGGGGGGGGGGGGGCGGACACTGTTAAAAGTATATACTTTCTATATAATTATATCAATTTCATTTCGAAGAGATGCCTGGAAGAGAAACTCTGACGACACCTACAGTTTTGTGAAAATCTAGATTTTGATCCTTTTACAACATTTAAAAAAATGTCTTTTCTTTCTGCAGCCCGTTACACTTCCGATGTAATAGCCAGGGTAGGTTTTGGTGTAGATTCCAAGGCTTTGACAGAAGAAAAAAGTGAATTTGCTTACAACATCAACAACTTTATTCGCATTCCTGCCACACGTCTTCAAAATATTTTCAGGTGCAATTTAGTTGTAAATTAGTTAAAAAAGTTGTTTAGATAGTTAATCACTTATTGTAACAAAACTAACTATAAAACTAATTTTTGTAAAAAAAAAACATTTTTTTTCTGTTTTTAAAAAGTAAAATTTAGATTTTTTAAATTGTGTAACGCGAGGCGGGGGGGGGGGGGGGGGAGGGAGGGGGTGAGTTACCAGTATACCCGTGTCAAAAAATACTGCAATAATAGTACCTTCTTCAATGTTTACACACGCATATATATATATATATATATATATATATATATATATATATATATATATATATATATATATATATATATATATCGCAGATATCAATGATAATTATGTGAATAACTCAAACCTTAACCTAAGACCTAACTTGAAAAAAAAGTAAAGATTCCTTATAAGACCTAGTAATCCACTTGGCAGATAAAGAATTGTCCATATGTTTCATGACATCGGCCTATGAAGGGATGGTGTGGTCAACACTATGCCCAGCCGCATTTACTTTCGCTAACGTAAGTCAGGTACCCATCAGAGCTGGGTGAACTCAGAGAGGTACTACAGTCACATGTACGAATTGAGATTCGAACTCGAGACCTTCGGGACCTAACTTGACTAAACCTGCTATACCAACCTGACACCTGACTAACAACCTGTCAAAACCTACTTTAGATAGAGCCTATTTATTGACATTTTGTTTGGACTACGCCACAAGTACAATTACCCTAATTTTAGTCATAAAGCTTGATATTCACTACAATCACAAACAATGAGTGAAAATATGCATTATGTTTTCAATTATTCACAGAGCTATTAATGAATTTTGTCCACCCGTCATGAAGATTGGTCTTGCTCTATTTAACGAACAAGTGGATGCTATTTTACCAGAAACCAATAATTACTTCGTTAATTTTATCAATGATGCGATTGAACGTAAACTAGCTGAAAAGAAAAATAAAGGTAAAAAAAAAATCTTAAATTACAAAGTGTTTATCTTAGAGGGTTGTTTCGTATTTTAACAGACTTGAAAACTATATATATGATGCGCAACGGAAAAAGCGCAAAAAAAAAAGCGCAAACAGAAATTTGCGCACACAAAAAAAAAATTGAAAAAAAAAAGCTAATGTTCCCCTGACACCTCAAAGTTCCCCATGATGTTTCACTGAAAAATTTAAGCTTTCCATACCATAATGTTCCCTAGACACCTCTAAACCAGACACATCTTAGTCTCTTCCCCTGATGTTCCCCAAACACCTATAAATTTCCCCTAATGTTCCCCAGACACCTCTAAGTTCCCCTAATGTTCCTCAGTCACCTCTAAGAAGACCCACCTGGACATGCTTGACATGCTACTTGAAGCAGAGGTCGATGACCGGACAGGTCAACAGCTGACCGCAGCAGACAGGAAAATCACCAGGAAATACGTGATCGGCAACTCCGCCATCTTGATCTTAGCTGCCTTTGAAACCACGTCAACGGCCCTAAGCTCCATCTTGTACCTACTAGCCAGGCACCAAGACATTCAGGACAAGGTCATTGAAGAAATTGACGAGGTCATGCAGGGCAAGTCCAAACCCACATACGAGGACATGGCTAAGTTGACCTATACAACTCAGGTATTTTATCGAAATCTGACAAAATATTTATAGTATCGATGTGGCTTATTAGTAGAAATTCTTTTGGTTCCTTATTTTACTATTTGAAATGGATAATAGTTTTTTTTTTTTTTTTTTTTTAAATCTGCATTTAGCTTAATTAACTTGTTTCTAAGTTGTTATTTGTTAAAATTAAAAATAAAAGTGTAAAACTACGGGTTTAGCAAAGTATATAATAGTATTTGTTGATCTTACAGCATTACTGTTTTACCCTAAAGAAAGTAATATAAAATGTATTTTTATTTAAACAAAATGAATTGAAATACCTCATATAGAATAGCTTTGGTAACCTGGCGGCCTATGGCACAAGTGAAGTAAAGTTCACTTGTTTTTGTGACTTCGGCATATGAAGGGATAGTGTGGTTAGCACTAATATCAGCCGCCTTTACTTTCCCTAACGTTAGTTTCTTACCCATCTAGGCTGGGTGGACTCAGGGACAGCCTACTGAGCTGAACCGGGATTCGAACTCGAGACTTTCGTGATAGCATTCTAGTGCTCTACCAGCTAAGCTACGCCATCCCTTACAACAAAAGGGCAATACAACTAATTATCCAAATACGTTGGTACACAAGACACATAGGCGATAAAAGTGTCCGTTTGTTTTAATGACCTCGGCATACATAGGAATCGTGTGATGAACACACTGCCCAGCCGCCTTTGTTTCCCTAACATGAGTCAGGTGCCCATCTTTCTTCTTTTTCTTCTTCGTTCTCAATTTTAGTGTTGGTAAGGATCCCCTCCAGCACAATTAAGTAGACATGTCAACTGGTTATGCGCCATAGAGGCCATTGACTCCGATTTCAGCCTGCTTTTCTTTTTGGGATTAGCTTCCATAGCTTTTGTCCAACCAAGAACAAATTACGATGCAAAAGTTGCATGATTTTGGAGTTGTCTCTCATAGAAGAGTGGTTTTCGAGCCTCATCTCCCCGAGGGTTCGAACTCGAGACTGTTCGGTTTAGCAGCCATGAGCTTTACCGACTCGACCACGCCGACCCCCTAGGTGCCCTTTATATCCGGGTGGAATCTAGGACCACCTACATACTTGACCCTGTTATCTCTGGTCTTGAGACGTTATCCAACAACATAAAACATGTACAAACGTATGGCGATATGAGCAAGCTGTGTATGTTGTATGTTGTATGTTGTACCAGGTGATTGTATGTTGTATGTTGTACTCACCAGGTGATCTACGAGTCACTGAGGATGTTTCCCCCCTCACCTGACATCACACGCAGGGCCAAAGAGACCAGAAACTTCAACGGGATGACCATCCCAAAAGGGATCACAATTTTCATCCCCATCTTCAAGATTCTAAAAGACCCTGAATATTTCCCTGACCCCTATAAATTTGACCCGGACAGATTCTCACCCCAGAGGAAGTCTGAGATTGACCCCGTGACCTTTTTACCTTTTGGGTTTGGCAGACGACAGTGTGTGGCCAAACGTCTGGCACTGGTGGAACTTAAGGTCAGATTTTTTTTTTTCATTGTAGAGCTGTCAATGTGTTGTTCTTATCTGTAATATTATTAATGGGATATCTATAAAAAAAAGTTATCACAAATAGTTGTAGTAATTAGTATAGCAAGTAATTTTGTAATGCTTGGACAATTAAACTACAAAGTTGTTAGCTACAAACGATGTGCCTGGACGTCTATTTGGTTGTAGTCCAGGGATCGGCAACCTGCGGCTCGCGAGCCGCATCCGGCTATTATGATGTCAAGGTGCGGCTCTTCAGCTCCCTGCACAAATATTAATAATTATTTTATTTAGTTTTTAAAACTCATAAAAATATTAGTCTGCAACACTCGATAATGAACAATATAATAATAAATATAACCAATAAACAGAGTTATAAGATTTGACTACAATGTAGTCAAATCTTATAACTATGTACTTTGATCAGCCACAGAACTGAAGTTTCTCTTTCTAAAATTAGGATTTTAACGATATACGTAAAATAAAAATGCTTAATTAAGCCTTTTTAGATCATTCTTAATGTATGGCCAATGAATCCATATTTAATATTCATAGACTGACTTAAGATTTTTGTTCTTTTTTTGTTATACATAAATGTTTATAATAATTATTTTAACTTTCATAAATATACTGGTTTTCACTAATAAAGGACCATGTAATTAATATATATTTTTTGCAGCTCTATATATAGTTATTGTCTTTCTATATTGTCATTATCTTAACTAACTTTAAAATAAAAACTTTTGATGGAGTTGTTGCCCTTATTTATTGTCTTTCATTAGACAAATTAAAATAAACATTTTCTATCCTTTTTTACAAGCTTTTATTTTTATTCTTTATATTGACTAACTTTTTTTTTTTGAGCTTGTATATACAAAGAGAGTTCTTTTTCCTATGTTACTCACACTCTTAAAAACCACTTTGAACACCAGAAAAGATAACTTGTCCTACTGTCCTCCCCAGGTTGTTCTGTGTCAGCTACTGACCACCATGAGGTTTGTTCAGACAGACAGGACAGAACCAGCTCTTGGAAACGAGGCTGAGTACATCCATGTGGATGGATTTTTTGTGGCCAAGAAACCCATAGAGATGGATATAGTTCTGAGAAACCAGTGAGGTCGTCGTAACCTCGGGACAGGACAGCTAGACATCATCACAAATGACTTAATGTTACCTTCGCATTCTGCACGTGAAGAACAGTCTAAAAAATTAAGGGCGTTGGTAAATTGCGAGACGCGAAACGCGAAATTGCGAGCTGTGAAAGTTTTAAAGGGGTGCGAAAATTGTCAGTCACATGACAAATTTTAACTTGATTTTCTCGCATAATATGTCAATAAATAATTTTATAATTTACATAGGGTATGGGTTTTGACTACAAAATTTTTTTTAAAAGAGAAAATTACTCATGCATTCTAGATTTATAGAACGCTTTACAAATACCCTTTACATTTCTAGATTTTATTTTGTCATTTTTTTTAGTGTATGAGATGGGCTTGAGAAAACATTTAGTTGTAACAGTTAAATAGATTTTTGTCTTTCTGTATTACCTCCCTTGAATTTCCAGGTTTGGGTTCTGTTACTAGATGGCTCTCCTAGTCCAGAGTTATCTATAGTCAGCGTTAGGGACGGCGTGGTAGTGTATGGCGCTTGATTCCAATTCCGAAGGTCTCGAGTTCGGATCTCGGATTGGTCTCGAGACTGTATGATCTCCGTGAGCCCACCCCAGCTCTAATGGGTACCTGACCTACGTGGAAAAATAAAGGCCGAGAAACATAAATATATTACGTCTTGGATATAAACGGAAAGAGAAAGGAGAACATTACTTTATTTTTACATATATATAGTCATGTTTTTAAGAAACAATTTTCTGCCTTTTGCTTGATTGTGCAATATGTGTAGTGAATTAAATGACTATTCTTGTATATATTTTGTCAATGTGTGAACGCGTTTTGTTTGGGTTGTTTTGTGTGTGTGTGTGTGTGTGTGCGTGCTTTGTCACAACATGTTACTAGAGGTACGTGTGTGATTGTGTGCGTGTGTGTGCTTTGTCACAACATGTTACTAGAGGTACGTACACATTTTTCGAAACACATTCCCGTGACCGGAGAAATGATGAGGCATTAACCCAACCACATCAACATGGGACAGCTAATGGATATGTTACTAGATGTCGTTAATGAAATCAGAGAGTTATTTGCTCACGAATGTCTAGTTAATGTGTGATTAAAACAAGATCAGTCTAGACGTTTGGTCTTCTAGGTAGCTAGAAATCTAGATGTTTAGTTCCCTGCGTTGCTCTGTTTGATGACTCAGTTTTTATCAGCATGATTGAGATCTAGGGTCCAAATGTAGGTTAAAGATGTTTTGTATAAATGTGGAGACTAGATTAAGGCATAGTCTATTAGATGTAGGTGTTTGTTGACCTGATAAGATATATAACCGCGTTTCTTAGTTAAGTGTCTATGTATATGTGTGAGAATTTGGTATTCAGTCTTTAGAAACTAAGTGACGATGATTTTTTTCTATTAATTCTTAGTAAATTAATATAAAACGATTTGTTTTAACGAAAAGTAACATTAAAAATTGACACACTTTTGCAGACACGGTTTTATTTTAATTAATTTTTTAAAGTCCTGTACAAACAAGATTTGTAAATACAATAGATGATTTACATATAAACTGTAAAACTTGTTTAATCACAGCCAGTGGCGTAGCGAGGTCGGGTGTCACCCGGTGCGGCACTTAATGGTGTCACCCCCCAGAGGCGTAGTGACCCTTCCCGGGGACAAACTTTCAATTTTTCGATTTGCACCCCCCCCCCTCAAGTTTTCGTTCTGCACCCCCCACCCTTAAACTTTCGATTTGCACCCCCCTCCTCAAGTTTTTCTCTATATATTTTGCTATTTTTTGCCTTGGTGTCACCCCCCCCCCCCCTAAATGGTGTCACCCGGTGCGGTCCGTACCCCCCGCCCCCCCCCCCCCCTCGCTACGCCTCTGATCACAGCAGCGTGACATAGAGGATAAAAAAACATCAACTTAACGCCCGTTTTAATTTCCCATCAACGGGCTACATTTCTAGTTAGTTATACTCTTAACAACCTTGTTGAACCATGACCTAGTTTTGCAACAGCTGATTCATTGCTGTTGATTGTGCAACAGTTCATCTGCATCAAAGGATAGTATAAATATTTTAACCTCTAATTGCATTAAATGTGTTCATTGTGTACGGTGGAACAAAACATACTAAATTATTCAACATCGAACTCGCTCTAACTTCATCAACGGAGGAGCATATAATTAAAACAACAGTAAGAAAAGTTTGTATGATTATTTATCCTCTTGTACGGTTAAAAATAATATCAATAATTATCAAATAATTTTTTATCTCCAAAATATATCACCGGTGTTTATTTCAGGCATTCCTCTAGGCAGGGGCTGCCTCCAGAGGCGTAGCGACCCTTCCCGGCGCCCGGGGACAAACTTTCGATTTGCACCCCCTCCCCTCGAACTTTTTAAGTTGCACACTCCCCCCCCCCCCCCCTCAAACTTTCGATTTACACCCCCCTCGAACTTTTTATTTGCACCCCCCCCCTCAAACTTTCAATTTGTTTTTCCAACCCATTTAGGCGCCCCCCACCCCTAAGGTCGGCGCCCGGGGACATATGTCCCCCCCCGCCCCCCCCCCCCCCCCTCGTCGCTACGCCTCTGGCTGCCCCCACCCCCTCTCCCCACTCCAAGGAGTACATGCACCCCCTCACCCCTCTCGGGAAAAAAGAAACCTTGCTCTTCTCTGCAATTCAGAACCCTTCCTCTCCAAAATGACCTGTTGAAATTTAATTCACGAAAGCGATTTTAAATGCAGAAGTACAACATCCTAGTCATACTTCTGAAGACGTCCAAACATCCATCCCCACTTACACGGTATTTAAAACAAAACAAATATTTATTGTATAATCGTCTCAAAGAAACAATGCGAGAAAAAAATAATATGAATTCACTTTCTTACGAAAATACTTCGAGGAGAAACTACACCTTTTCTTTAATTAGAGGGTTCATTCAGCTATAAATGATACCTAGCAGGTATTATGTAGCAAGTTAATTTAACTATGGAGACCTGGGAAAATCATTTGTATGCTTTTTCGTATTTATTACTACATAAAGGACCATTATGTATGTAATAAATAATCATAGTTAAGTATAGATGAAGAAGTTCAACTAGGTCTGTGACATTGTCTTTACATTCCAGGCCAGCCAGTGGGTTCTATGTCGGATGGCAAGATAAACGAATGCCCTTTAAACTAACAAACATAGTCGCTTTGGTTTTGCAAAACCATACTCTGTCGTTAGACCACACAGTTTCGTTAAGGCATAATTATGTTGATGGTCCGTTAATACGTGTCAAGTTTCCCTTTCAACCTAATTTTATCTACGGTAGACGAGGTAGGGTTGATCTGTATCTTGATTACGAAATATTAGGGGATGATGTGGTCTGCACTATGCCATTAACTTGAGTGGGGTACTCATTAGAGCTGGGTGCAGGGGCGTAGCGAGGGGGGGGGGGCGGGGGGGTTTGGACCGCACCGGGTGACACCATTTAGGGGGTGACACCAAGGCTAAAAATAGCAAAATATATAGAGAAAAGTTTGCCCCCGGGAAGGGTCGCTACGCCTCAGGGGGGGGGGGGTGACACCATTAAGTGCCGCACCGGGTGACACCCGACCTAGCTACGCCACTGGCTGGGTGTACTCAAGGAACTTGTAACTTTCGGGTCCTAATTTTTCTGGGATTATTTTAATGAATTATATTTATGTATAATTTCCAGATGTATCTACCATTTCTTGGAGACGTATCCGTATGGCTCCTCCTACTTGTTGCAATTCTGACAGCATTCTATTTGTACACTACAAGCTTTGTGGGCGTGTTCAAGGCTGTGGGAATCCCTGGCCCCACCCCTTGGCCAATCATAAACCACATACCTGAGCTAAAGAAGCATGGTCTATCTAAGATGCTGGATGATTGGAGAGCAAAGTATGGCAAGACTTATGGGATTTATGGGATGTTTCCAAGGTGTGCAACCCTTGTGACCTTTGACGCCAGGTTACTTGAATACATTATGGTCAAAGATTTCAGCAATTTTAGAGATAGAGGTGCAAACAATACTTCACGGAGTGCTGTTACTCATGTGAGTATATAGAATTAACTGTTAAGGGGGCACATACACCCAAAAACTAGTTGTTACGTTGCTGAAAAGAATTTTTTTAATCTATTAGAACTACAGATGCCGAGTTTGATAACAGAATTACTTACACATTCTATTCTATTAAAATGTACTGTGTTAAATATGTGTTATGAATAAGCACACACACACACACAAATTAAGAAAAATATCAACAATCGGCAATACAAAAATACCCAAACTGTAGAATAGATGTAAGAATTAAATATACAGCTATAATTTTCCCATACATCTAAAAGACAAGTATTACTATTGTGTGAATCACTCTTATGAAACTCATGTTTCTGATTTGTCCGTGATACAGAATTTTGAGAAAACGTAAATTTTACTAATACATATCTAAAAAGGTTTTACACATAGGTAAAATATTTTGGTCCGCATTACAGCAGCTAAATCTTTGAATGTGTGAGCGAAGTTGTATTACAACCTGACAAAAACTATTGTAGTAATGTATATATATATATATATATATATATATATATATATATATATCTTCTAATATATAAAGCTCAATTCTGTATGTAAAAATAAGTTTGTTTGTTTGTCGTTGACATACTTCGATGGATTTAAGTGTTAGACTATTATCGTGCTCATAGTCTAAATTTTTGAGATAAAAAATTGCTATTGAAAGTGTTGGGAAATAATTTTCATTTTTCAAACTGATAGTAATAATTGTCGGCATGTTCATTAAACATAATTTTAAAAAAATAAAAAAAATTCTAATTATGTCTGAAAATTATTTATATTTAGTCCTTTAGCACTTACTTCCCTTTGATAAATTAGGAAAACACAATTACTTCCCTTTATAAAACATTGCATTAGTGGAAAAGAATTTACTTTTTATTACTTTGTTTCGGTGTTGGGAAAAAAATAATTACATAATTAGC